AGCTGCAGCACCTGAATAAAGCCTTCTTCCCTTGCAATACTCGTTGTCTTAGTCACTGGCTTTCTGTGTGGTATGCAACTGGGCCTAGACCAATCCCTTGTGTGTTGGTAACAATGGCAACACGTTAAAAAAAAAAATCCCCTCCTATGCTGCATTTAGTATACACATGGAATGACAGGTTGCTAATGCCCAAGTTTTGATATCAGAATTTTGCCCACTTTAGTTCAAATTCCCCTATCTAGGCTAGTCAGCTTCCCTTTGGTTGACCTGTCAGTCCATCTCCCCAATCATTCTTCACACCTTTTACAAGTGGACAAGACAAGGAAAAAAAAGGGGAAAAGGAGGAGAAAGAAAAGGCCTAAGAAACACTGAAGAAATATGTGTCAGCTGTTAGGGGAAAAGTATGTTTCAAGTATGTTAACGGTAGACTCTGTCTCAAAAAAAAAAAATGTGCGCATGTACATTATGATATATATGCACAGTAATGTTCAAACAGCACATTCAGAACCCCAAACTGGAAATATAGTATTAATAGAATGCATAAACTGTCATAGACTCACAACGAAATACTACATAGTAATAAATAATTAGATCTACAAGTAGAAACATGGATGAATCTCATATATATAATGTGAAGTGAACAAAGCAGGACAAAAAAATACATATAGTATTATTCTATTCATAAGAAAGTTCATAAGCAGGCAAAATTAAGCTATATTGCTCAGGGATGCATCAGTAACTCATCATAAAACTACAAAAAAGCAAGGAGATAATTATCCTAATAAACATGAAACTGATAGCCTTTAAGGGGAAAGAAGAAGGTTGATTGGGGAAGGGCACACTGGCAACGTCAAGTGCTAGCAATGTCCTATCTCTTGACCTCTGTGATGATTACATGAGTGTTTATAATAAACATGTTACAATGCACATATATACTCTGTGCTGGTTAATATTAAGTGTCAACTTGATTGGATTGAAAGATACAAAGTACTGATTCTGGGTGTATTCGGGTGTTTCTGGGTGTTGCCAGAAGAGATTAACATTTGAGTCAGTGGAGTGGGAGGGGAAGACCCACCCTCAGAAAGACACACCCACAATGTGGGTGGGCACGATCCAGTTGGCTGCCAGCACAACTAGAAAAAACAGACAGATGGAGGTGGAATGAGCTAACTTGCTAAGTCTTCCAGCCTTCATCTTTCTCCTGTGTTGGATGCTTCCTGCCCTCGAATATTAGACTCAAGTTCTTCAGCTTCTGGACTCGTAGGCTTACACCAGTGGTTTGTCAGGGGCTCCTGGGCCTTAGGCCACAGATTGAAGGGTGCACTGTTGGCCTTCCTACTTGTGAGGTTTTGGGACTCCGACTGGCTGCCTTGCTCCTCAGCTTGCAGACGCCTTATTGTGGGACTTCATCTTGTGATCATGTGAGTCAATACTCCTTAGTAAACTCTCCTTCATATATACACCTATCCTATTCATTCTGTTCCTCTAGAGAACCCTAATACATACTATATGTATGTTTAAGCATGTATGCTATATTTTATACATGCAAATAAAGGGTAAGAAAAAAACTGTAAAACAAAGCTTATTCTACCTAATTCTTCTCCTTTGAATTTGTCCCATTAATATTTTGGGAATTCATTATTTCTTTGCTCATAGGAGCAAATTTGCCACAACAGTATCACTCATGTTGAGGATCTCCTTCAGTAGATTTCCTCAGTTATAACAAAACTTTGTTCAAAATGTCACCTCTAAAACAGATAAAAGCTATTTTGGAAGTTGTTAAAAGAAATATCCCAACTAAGAGGGTTTGTAAAGAGGTATTAATAGCAAAATGAGGCCAAGTTCAGTAACAATGTCAGCAAACAGAGGAGTTACAGTAATCAAAGAATACTTACTTAAAAAGAAAATTAATAATCTTATTAGGATCTAAATAAAACCAAACAAACAAACCCAGAAAACTTTATGGCCAGCCTTGTGTTGCTCCACTTTTCTTTGAATCCTTGCTGTTTTAGGGATATTTAAGTCCTTCTTTAACTGAACCAGAAAATCTCAGAGAACTGAAATAAGATGAACAATGAATTCTCTGGCCACTGTAAAAGAAAAGCAAGTAGTGATGGAAAGAGTAGAAAGGCAGGGAGAAAGAGAATTTAAGGCAACTACATGCTAATGATAAGTCATCATAAAGGGTTTCTAAATGTAAGATAAAAATTAATGATGATAAGAGAGATGCTGAGTTATACCTTAGTCATGGTGACAGACTACTATTTATTTTAGAATACTATAAAAAAGTAAAGTAAAAAAAGTATAGAGAGTTACTCTAGTATAATCACAATTATGTACAATTATGTACAAAAATGAAAAGGGTATTGGGAGTACAGGTGGCATTCTTCTCCTTTTTATTTTCTGTGTTTTCTAAATTTTATCTATTAAGCATTTATTATTTTATAATAAAAATAATTTATTTGAAAACAAGATTGTGCTGTCATCTTGCTCTAAAAATAGTCTAAAATTAATGGCCTGCTAATGCTTTTCGAATTTGTTACTGATATTTGTACAGTTCCAAAAAGGACTTGAGACAGTTTACCAAAAAATAAGAAAAAAACAACCAAACAAAAACACCAACCAGAAATGATGAAACACAGCAAATTCACTAAAAAGAGGACAGGAAAACAAGTACCAACCAACAAGGAGAGTATAGAATACAACAGCTGAATATCTAGATTAAAGTATCACAAAACTTAAAACCAAGGGAAAAAGACTGTTTCCACAGCTTTCAAAATGTAAAGAATCAGAGACTTGTTCTTGTTTAGGTCTAGATATTGTTACCACTTTCTTTTAATATAAAAGGAAACTAACAGCACACCAGCTGCTGGCAATAACATTACGTATGCTGACAAATGCTATTGTGTAGATTATTCAAAACTAAGTTAGCTAAATATCGGTACAGACTTCTAGGAAAAAACATGTAACATCTTCACAACCTATAAGAAATCACACAATGATTTCTAATAGAAGAAACGAATACACCAAAAAAGCGTCAGCATCATCAGTCATCACGGAAATGTCATTGTGGCATCAACTAGAATGGCCAAAATTAAAAAGACAGGCTGGGCACAGTAGCTCATGCCTGTAATCCTAACACTTTGGGAGGTCAAGGTGGGTAAACTGCTTGAGCCTGGGTGCTCGAGACCAGACTGGGCAACATGGCAAAACCCCATCACTGCAAAAAATACAAAAACTTAGCTGGGAGTGGTGGTGCATGCCTGTAGTTCCAGCTACTTGGGAGGCTGAGGTAAGAGGGAGGGTTGAGGCTGAGCCAAGGGAGGTTGAGGCTGCAGTGAGCTGTGATCACGGGTCTGGCTGTCAGCCTGGGTGACAGAGTGAGACCCTGTATTAAAAAAAAAAAAGATTTACAATAGTAAATATTGGAGAATAGGCCAGGTATGGTGGCTGATGCTGTCATAACAGCACTTTGGGAGGCCGAGGCAGGTGGATTGCCTGAGCTCAGGAGTTTGAGGCAAGCCTGGGCAACAGTTTGTAGGGACAGGCAAATCCCTGTCCCTACAAAAAATACCAAAATTAGCCAGGCATGATGATGGGCGCCTATAGTCCCAGCTACTCAGGAGGAGGCTGAGGTGGGAAGATGGTTTGAGCCTGGGAGGTAGAGACTGCAGTGAGTGGAGATGGTGCCACTGTACTCCAGCCTGGGCAATATAGCCAGACCTTATCTCAAAATGAATGAATGAGTGTTGGAGAGTAGGAAGACCACCCTTAGATTATTGGGGAAAAGACAAAATGGTAGAGCCACTTTAGAAACAGGCACTTTCTTAAAATGTTAAACATACATCTACCCTGTGACTCAGCAATTCTACTCCTAAGATAAATTAAATCATATAATCACCCAAAGCAGTATTCAGCAAAAAATAATAACTGAAGTCTGGAAACTATATTGGTACCCACTTATAGAAGAATGAATAAACAGACTATGGTCTATTGATACACTGCAATGAAGTACTACTTAAAAAGCACTGGTATACATAACAATGTGGAAAAATTGCAAAAACAAGCCAGACACAAAAAACATTCTGTATGATTCCACTTACATGAAGTTCTAGAATAGGCAAAACTGATTTCTGGTAATAGAAATCGGATCAATGCTTGCTTCTGTAGGGAGTGGGATACAATGATTAACTGGGAAGAAATATGAAGAAACTTTCTTGGGTGACAGAAACACTGTGCATGAATAGGGTGTGGGTTATACAAGAATATGCATTTGTCAAAACTGATCAAACTGTACCCTCAACAGCTAAGAATATCAGAGTATCTAAATTATCCCTTAATTTAAAAAATGAAGTTAGCTTAATAGTTGATAACTTATAGTTCCTAAGAACTGTTTACTAAAAAAGACACATCTTTTAGATTTGACATTTGTAGGAGGCAAGGCTAGTGTTTTGTAACAGATCTTAAATAACCTAACATATTCTTGCCCCTGTAAAGAGGGTTTCAGCAGGCATTGCTAGGATTTTTTTCTCAGAAAACCATCATTCTTTTTAAACACTTTCACAAAAACTGAAGTCCAAGGACCAGAACTACAGATCTATATACTGTTAGACAAGAAAATGTGATCTTGGCCTATGTGTGGGGAAGGAAAGCTCATTAACATCTCAACTACATTTAGTTATTTTAAGAGTTGTACTTTCAATTAAGTTGTAAATTCAGTGAACAATCTGTAAAGACCTTGATTCAGATGAATCTCACGTAAAAAGCTTTGTAGTTTGACTCAAACACATGGTCAAAGAATCACAGTCATGGCTGTATCTTTAAATTACAAATTCAGATGATAAGCCTAAATTATTAAGTAGTAGCAAGTATCAAAATATCTAATATCTTGGGTTGTGGAAAATGGAAATGGAGAAAAAAGTATCTATGATCAGACTTCAGATCATGTAACACAATCAAAGTACACTAGTAAAGAATGCATTTGGTACTGTTAAACTTACTTGATTACTGGAGGCAGTGAATCAAGTCTAGTCTCTGGGCTCCAAGCTATGCCATCGACCCTGACTCCATGGTGAAATGTTCGAAGTGTTTTATACTGAATGCCTTCAACGTCTGCTTCTTCTTCCTAAGCATACACAGTAAATGTTTTAGTAAGTAATGAGAACAAACAATATTCTGTATTTCATTATAATGAATTATCAGAAGGTTATGTTTGTGCTTTTGAAAAGTTCAAAAGCAAATTACATATTAAGATTTAACCAGTTCATTGAATTTAAAAAAAAAATCCAAAGTTGTCTAGGCCTCACAAAATAACTCTCTAAGGCAACTAGAAACAAACAGTAAATATGTTCCACTTTATCTTAGGAGGCATTTCATAATAAGTTCAATGAGAAGAGACTGCTTGGTCAGGTGTGTTGGCTCACGTCTATAATCCCAACACTTTGCGAGGCTGAGGTGGAAGGATTGTTGGAGCTCAGGAGTCTTAGACCAGACTGGGCAACATAGTGAGACCTGTCTCTACTTTATAAAAAAAGAAAACAAAGAAAATGGAATGCTCTAAAGAATCAAAATATTCTAGGTAAATGAATTACCAGAACCGGATTATCTACTGACAATATTAAAAAATATACACTGAACATTTTGATTACATGGAAAATACCTTGGGACCTCATAAAGATCTCAAAGTCTTTATAATCAGTGTCAACGATGTTCACGTAGTGTTACATGTGGCATTATATGTGTGCAAGATGCTACAAATAATTCATCTGGACTATTACAGTCTATGAATAGTGAATTGTAAGAAATAATCTGGTTAGTTTTAGATATTTGATTCTGGGAATAAATGCTTAATAAAGTTGGCTTATTTATCTAGTTCAGCCCTACTAGAATGATTTCAGTTTATCTTCATGGGAAGGTGAGAAAAAAAAATCAACTTTAAAAGTCAAGCCATCCATCGCTGGCAATGGGGACAATAACCTGAAAAGTTCTCCCATTACAACATTGCAAAAATTCAAATACAGACAAGCAAACAACTACCAAGGTATGCAGCTGTTATAAGGGCATCTGCCTACATGCAGTGATTTAAAGCTTCAGTTTGCAAGAGAGAGGAGACAAATCCTAGTGCCAGGACAAGGAAGGATGCCAGATGAGAGATCTCTGCATAGATCCAGGGCCCTTAAGGGGGAAGCCGGAAAAAACAGACAAACAAAAAGAAAACCCTGCCATGCAAAATACCTACCATGAGTAAGGGAAGGATACTTAGGGGGCCTCAAAAGAATTGCTAATGTTCCTTTTCTTAAAATAGGCAGCAGGTATATAGGGATTCATCTTATTATTCTTTATGCCTTTATGGATAACACATATTTTATAAGCATTAAAATATTGCTCAGCACCATAGGAAAGGTAAAAAAGAAAAAAAAATGATAAAAAAATTTTTGCAATTTTAAAAATAAGTATATCATTGTTCTGTTATTTAAATCAATACCTGAACTGGGTCTAGAGACTAACGCCAAATTTTCATGACAAATTTGTCCAAGAAATCTTGTGTGTTAACTACAGTTATTTTTAGTATCAGGGAAAAAAATCTAGCAGGTGAAACTTGATATTTAATGAAATACGTATGTCTATATTGATAGGAATTACTTGAAGGCCTGATCTAAGAATTCCATTCACCCAGAATCTAAATGCAAAGTTTTATAATGTATACTCGAATGAAATCCAAGTAGATATACTGATTTTTCCAGGATAGCCTATGGGATCCTAGTAAAGTCATTTCACAAACATACTACACATCTTTCTCTATATAATTCAGATACCCTTTGAAAATAACTTCAAATTTCAGGTGAACTTAAAGTTAACAGCAAAAAGTTTTTCCATAAATGAAAGAATAGAAATACACGTATCAAGGAAAGAAAAACACTGTCAAATTTTACTACTTCTTAATTTGTGTGTATAATAGTTGTATAGCTAACAGCCAGATATGCCAAGACAGCAGCCACTAAGCAATTTTAAAGTAAGTTTAGAAGCCTAATCATAGCTGACTTCACAGTTTGGATTACATCTATTTTTCCAAACTTGACAAATCAGTCTCTTAAAAATGAAGTTTTTACATGTAAATACACATCATCTTGCTACTGTAACAATATTATGGACAATCAGGTCCTATAATTTGTTACCCAAATCACATACAGGATTACTGGGTGGTCATGGGGATAAAGAAATCCCAGGGACTGTATAGCCTGGGCTTTTTATATTGTCAGTGAAACCTTTTTTCCTGGCAGCACTGTTTGCCACTAAGCCAACTAAAAGGCCAGGGTGTGTGTGTGGTATAGGCAGAGACAAATGCTATTTTGGATTTAGTTTGGGGTGTAAGCAGAATTGTATAGGCAGGAAATTAAGACACTTTGGAAAACTTGCTATAATACAAATGATTACACAAGGCTTCAGTATATTTGAGGTTGGGGCAAAGCCAGGTTGATGGAAGTGCTATTATAAGGTTTGAAACTGGCAGGCCCTCCTACCACACCCATTTAAGGCCAAATACAGAATTTCAGTTAGTCAAGACTATGAAGTTTCTCTAGTTCAATTCTTTCCCCTAATGCTTGAATCCCTAGGAGAGCATCTGAGTTTACACAACCCCTCTCTCTGAACATTTCCAGTGAGAGGGAACTAGCTACTACTTTGGAAAGTTTATTCAATTGGGGAATAACTCTAATTATTAGAAGAGTTCTTAATGTTAAGCCAAAATCTGTTTCCATGTAAATTCTACTCATTATTCCATGTTCCATCTCTGGAACCACACCAAGTCAGTCTAAATTAACGATGGCAAGTATTTGGCCATAGTTGATCTCCTCTAGGTGAAGACACACTAAGCAGCGGATTCAGCCTCAGCCTGAAAGCATTATAAGCAACAACTCTGTCCACTCAAATAGAGTGACAAATAACATAAAATCCATTTACCATTCTGAGTCTAATACCTCTTTCACAGTTTTAAACATTTAGATACTACCCTGAAATTTGTATTAAAATATATTATCTTCTCTAAATCATAATATACTGCTGAGAACTAAAGAGTATTATTATTATATTAAAGATTATTGTCAATTTACAGAGGAAAATGCAGAGAGAACTGTGCTGTCTGATATGGTAGCCACTAGCCATACAGGACCTTACGAAGCACGTGAAATGTGGCTAGTTCTACTTGATACGTGTACACTTTAAAAAGTGTAAAATACATAGCAGATTTCTAAGTCTATTCAAGGGGTCTTCATTAGTAAATTGAGGCCTCTAGTAGAACTTGGACGAGAACACTGATTTAGGCAAGCATACATGTTCATGCTCCTCTGCCCTTTAACAAAGGTTTTTATAGCAGTTTTCTTATTGCTCTGCTTTATACTTAAATATTTCCTTAAGGATACGGTCCTTGCTTTTTTCATGTCTTGGCACCGAGTATGCACTTAAGGAATATCTGACAAATACATGACACCAGTTAACAGTACTATCGTGCAGAAGCTCATATGTCCATCATAATCAAAGGGACAGCATGAGATTCTGAAAAATGCTTTGTTGAAATTCAAATTCACTATATCTACAACGTTTTCTAAATAGCCTTAAAATAAGGATTATCTTTCTGACAGGAATGTGGAAATCTTTCCACTTAATTTACCTTTACTTAGTTTTCTCTCAAGACAAGAGGTATGAAACTGGGTGCAATGGAACTTGAAGGTTCTAGGATAACAGAATAGTAATAATGTTTAACAGTGTTTAGCTAGATAAAAAATAACTTCAAAGAAAAGCAATAATTTATTTTGAAATGGACTTACTTAATTGTATTTCCAATGTCTGGTGCAGAATATAATTTGTGTTTACTATTGTCCAAATTAATAAAAATCTAATTTTTTCCTTAGTAATTTGGGCATGAGACCTACATTGCTAATCTCACAGGTATGAGGGTCAACTGAGACAATACATGTGACCATAAAACGTAACAGAACACAAATGTTTATACTAGTTCTTTTTTCTCACGTTGTCATTTTCCTTCTGTCTCCCATCTTCTCCCTCTCTCATCTTTGCCTTTCTCTTTTCCTAATTTGTTCTCCATTGACTTTCTCTCTCAACATTTCTTAATCATAAATGAGAGATAAACATTTTTCAGTGTTTTTGAATACAATTTTATGTTCAGTTATTAATTTTAGAAGTAATGAAGTAAAAATTAGTTTTACCTGTAGGAGGCTGCTTTACTCTTTTGTGCATTGGTGGCCTGCATTAGAGAAATGGTTTTTCCTCAGTCTTTTTCAAGTATGTAACATTGTTTTAATCATATAACTTTTTATGATCCTAAACCATGTCCATGTAAGTGAGGCTGAGGGTCATATTTAGTCTAAAAGGTAGTAATTTCTACCCCCCCACCCAAAGAGACAGTATGAAATAGCCTAGGAGCTGTCATATTCTACTCAGACAGCAACAAACTGAAACTTTTAATTCATACTTCCTCTTAAATATGACTATATTCCAATTTGTAAAGCTTTATATATTTATTGTGCTATAAAATGCCAAATTGCATTTCTGATGTCACAATACTGTAAGATTCAGAATTGCCGCTGGCCATGATGGCTCACACCTGCAATCCCAGCACTTTGGGAAGCTGAGGCAGGCGGATCACGAGGTCAGGAGTTCAAGACCAGCCTGACCAACATGGTGAAACCCTGTCTCTACTAAAAATACAAAAAAGTTAGCTGGGCATGATGGCACGCACCTGTAATCCCAGCTACTCAGGAGGCTGAGGCAGGATAATCGCTTGAAGTCAGGAGGCAGAGGTTGCAGTGAGCAGAGATTGCACCACTGCACTCCAACCTGGGTGACACAGCAAGACTCCATATCAAGAAAAAAAAAAAAAGATACAGAATTGCCTTTTCAGTAAAGGAGGAAATAACATTTATAATGATATAATATCACTTTAGTGATAGTTATTTTAAACCTTAGAAAATTGGACACTTCCAAATTACCGTATTAATTATAATTTGAGAAATACAGTTCTATTAATAATATTCTGATAAGCCAGGAAGGGTGGCTCACACCTGTAATCCCAGCACTTTGGGAGGCCAAGGTGGGCGGATGACATGAGGTCTGGAGTTCGAGACCAGTCTGGCCAACATCATGAAACCCCCTACTAAAAATACAAAAATTAGCTGGGGGTGGTGGCGCATGCCTGTAATCCCAAGTACTCAGGAGGCTGAGGCAGGAGAATCAACTGAACCCAGGAGATGAAGGCTGTAGTGAGCCAAGGTCACACCAGTGCACTCCAGTATGGGCGACCAAGCAAGACTCTGTCTCAAAAATAATAATAATAATAATAAAAATAATAATATTCTGACAGACAAAGGATTAGCCAGGTAGTCCTGACGCTTGAACCTTTGTTGTTCAAAGTCTCTCTTACATGTAAAACTAGTTTTCCTCTGCGAAAACATGGTTTATGTTCACCACAAAGCAATGTTACTTTGGTGATTAAATCTGAGAGTGTTACCATTGCCCATATCAATGACAACTAAAACATATATATGGATTACAATGCTGTCAGATGCCCTCTTGGAATTTTACACATACTAAAATTTGAGCATTGTTTTCCTCTTTTTTACAGGAGAGGCTAAATATCTTATTCAAGGTCTCATAGCTAGTAAGAAGTAAGTAAAGCAGGAGTAAACATGTAGGCATTCTAGTTCTAGAATTCACGCTCTTAATAGCGATGCTTAACTGCCTCCTCAATTAATAAGACTCCATATTCTGCATACTTCAGATGCACAAAAAGTATGACAGCATACTAATAGGAAAGCTGAATATTATAAAAGCTATAAAATCTCCTGGAAGATCATTTTCCAGACTCTCAATATTAGCTGGTTTCGTATGTCAAAGCAGGATGTAGAAAAACCGTAATTAATTGGATCTCATTTATATTGTTTTTTTTCTGTACATACCATTGTTCAGTTAATCATAGCCTTCAGTTATCAGAATATTCCATTAATGATCATGAAGCAAAAGAGAAGCCTCATACTATTCTTTTTCACTATCTATATAATGTTTACATAAATCTCAGGCACATATAACTGGGAACATCTTTCTCTATGGGTGTTATCTTTTTTTTTTAACATTCAAACTCAATATACTTTCAAAGTTTAGATTTGGTTTGTGTAAGTTCTCTTATCAGTGAAATATATTCACTGTCATTCGGTGCAGTTTTGTAGACTAACCTGAAACGTACACGTGCCAATGACCACATAATTATTGCCACCATATGCAATTAGGTTTCCTGAATCCCCATTCTCAAAGGGATTAAATTCTACCACATGCACATAATCTTCACAATCCACAGTGTAGGCAGCATTTCTTGAGGCATCTTGCTTCATCTTGTATGTCAAAATTCAAGCAGTTGTGAAAATTAAATAGCCTTCTACTGGACAAGGTCACGAAACTGTGGATTACAGCACAGGTACAATTAGAATGGTTGAAGTGTTAGTCATTAAACAAATGCATCAAAATAAGGTTGTGGTGTTACAATGAGACAGAAAGCTCAAAAGAAACATTTAAAGTACTTATCAAGGGACAGAAACTGAAGGAAAAATATTAAATCTAGTTATTAATGGTTCCACATTGGCTCTACAGCTTTTTCCCGTATCTGTGATTCTAGCAGACAAAAACACCATAAAGTTCTGTTTAGATTATCTAAAACAAAAAGTATTCCATCTGAAGATGGAATCATTTTAATAGCAAATATGTTAATAAAAATAACTTTTATGAACCACTATTTGCAGGTGCCACATTAAGGATTTCACTGACATGACCACATCTAGTATCTGTACAAATCTAAAGGCAGGTACTACCTCTGGTCTCCATTTTGCAGATGGAGAAACTGTAGCTTCAGTAGGTTAACTAACTTGCCAAGCTTGTAAGCAGGGCCAGGATTTGGAAGACTTCATTGTGTGTGGAGAACCAGTGCTAATGAAGAAAAAAACAGCCTTCTGGCTTAAAGGAGACCACAATTTAGCGACAGTTATGACTCAACGTGAAAAGGGCTACAATATAAACAGATACAAAATACAGGATCTGTTGTAAGGAGTGCCAAAATTTGTGATACAAAAATAATGTTCGGGGGGCTGGGGGAAGGGAGAGCATCAGGATAAATAGCTAATGCATGTGGAGCTTAATACTTAGGTGATGGGTTGACAAGCGCAGCAAACCACCATAGCACACGTTTACCTTTGTAATAAACCTACACGTCCCGCACACGTATCCCAGAACTTAAAATAAAATTTAAAATAGTAATATTCTTAAAACTAGGCACAAGACTTTAACTAACCGTCAGGGACTAGTGTGCACTCTGGAAGTAGCATTCCCACAGGAGAATTATGGGTTTTAGAGTTTTTGGTTTTTTAAAAAATTCAGGCCGGGCGCGGTGGCTCAAGCCTGTAATCCCAGCACTTTGGGAGGCCGAGACGGGCGGATCACGAGGTCAGGAGATCGAGACCATCCTGGCTAACCCCGTGAAACCCCGTCTCTACTAAAAAATACAAAAAACTAGCCGGGCGAGGTGGCGGGCGCCTGCAGTCCCAGCTACTCGGGAGGCTGAGGCAGGAGAATGGCGTAAACCCGGGAGGCGGAGCTTGCAGTGAGCTGAGATCCGGCCACTGCACTCCAGCCTGGGTGACAGAGCGAGACTCCGTCTCAAAAAAAAAAATAAAATAAAAAATAAAAAATTCGACACAAGCGTTGTCCTGAAAACAGACGGGCTCAGTAACAAACATATCAAGCATCTTAACAGTATCTACTGAGAATCAGATGAGTCCAACCTCGAGACGCTTATAAACTAGTAACCTTAGGAATGGACATCCGGGACTGAAAACTTGTTAAGGGTGACCAGCAAGTGTTAGGGGCATGGAGGCAGAGAGGTATAGGAAGTGCAAGAGATTCGAGGTCAGGATATTGTGCAGTTCCCACACCTACTGCTCATTAAAGCAGTGCCCAGGGCCTCACCATACACGTTCGGCAGGACTTGCCCCTGTAAAACTAGAAGGGCAGAGAAGAAGGGAGGGAACAAGATAACTCCCTGCAATGAGCCCCGACACCGTTCCCGGGCCAGGCGAGTTCCTCAAGACCCCGCTCCCACCTCCCGGGGCCCGAGGTGGGAAGGAAGAACTCCTGGAGATAGAATGGCAGGGCTGGGCGGCCGGCAGAAAAGCATCACGGCCTCTTGGGCTCCCCGCTCGATACGCACCGCAGAGCGCCGGGAACCGACCAGAGACAAGCCGGTCTTCGTTGGGGGCTGCTGCGACGCGCTCTGGCTCTGCTTCCGGGTCGGAGGGCGAGCACAGCGATTGGCTCCCGAGGTCTCCCGCGAGGTTTGAAATGTATTCAGCGACGGCTGAGGTGGCCGTGGGAGGGCTGTCCTTGAGGGAACTTTCCGCAAGCTCAAGCGTACGTCTTCGGGTCTACCCCTAACCAGGTAAATCTCGCGTCTGCCCCACCCGCACTGTCGCATTTTTAAGTGATGTTTCAGGCTGTGGCTTTTGAGGGTGTTTTGCACTATAATACCCGGTCGTAGCAAAGTGCTGTGGGACCGAAGTATTATGGTGCAGTGACTTCGCGCTGGAGTCTGGTTGGGCCTGGGGGCTGTAGGTGGAGTTCACAGTATCTAGCGATGGAGCTGGAAGGTCCTGAGGGTTCGTCTGCAGCTTGGAAGACAGGCCGATAGAGGCCTGCTTAACTTCCATTAGTTAGGCAGGAAATCAGGATTCTAGTCCCACTATGCATGCAGACTCCAATTCCTCAACTTTCTCCTACTCCTGATTAGTTACAGCTTCCCAAGGAACCTTTGGGACTTGCACTCTAACACTGATAATGATGTTGAGTGCAGTTTTTTAATTGAGCACCTACTAAATGCCTGGCACTAGGTGGGTTGTGTACTCGTTGCACTGACGTCTCATTCTGTGAGGTAGGAATTCCCTTCCTGGTTTTGCAGGTGAAGAAACTTGTGCTCATTAGAGATTTTAAATACCGAAGGACTACAGGTCATAAATGGGGGAGCCTGGAAGTGATATCTGACTCGAAAATATAGTTCTTTCAACCATTTCACACTGCCTGCCCAGTGACAATTTTTTGTCTCACAGTTTTTGCTCTAGAGCAGCTTGGAATCCAATTTTTTAAAAACAAGTGTTATCGCTGCTGCCTTTGGCTACTGGTTTTTTTCTTGTATGGTGCAGCCTGCCATTCAGAGTGCTGGCATATTTATTGTCTCATTGACCCCTCACAAGGGACTGGAAGGCAAGTATTTCTGTGTAATGATGCTTCCACCTAGGCAACCACGTGTAAGCTTATCGCATAGGCTCCCTCAGGCAGCTAACTACAGGAAGAGCTGGGACTAGACCAGGGGTTGGCGAACTAGCTATGCTGCCTGTTTTTGTGCAGCCAGCTCCTTAGCTAAGAATGAGTCTTACATGTTTATATGGTTGGGGAAAAAATGAATAATGTTTTGTGATGTGTAAAAATTACATGAAATTCAAATTTCAATGTCCATAAAAAAAGTTTTATTGTAGCACAGCTGTGCTTATTTGTTTGTTTATGTATGTCCGTGGCTATTTTCACACTAGAAGGTCAAAATGAGTAGTTGTGCCTGCCTCAAATATTTACTGTTTGTTCCTTTAGAAAACGTTAGCTGATCCCTGAATGAGACTCTTGGTTTTCTGTCACCATGGTAATGCTCTTTTTTTTTTTTTTTTTTAAGACGGAGTCTTACTCTGTCACCTAGGCTGGAGTGCGGTAGTGCTATCTTGGCTCACTGCAACCTCCGCCTCCCTGGTTCAAGCAATTCTCCTGTCTCAGCTTCCCGAGTAGCTGGGGCACGTGCCACCACACCCAACTAATTTTTAGCAGACACGATTTCACCATGTTGGCCAACCTGGTCTCGAATTCCTAACCTCAGGTGAGCCTCGGCTTCCCAAAGTGCTGGGATTACAGGTGTGAACCACCATGCCAGGCCAATGCTCTTTTACTTTTAACTCAAAACAACTTAGAAACTCATAATGCGTGATAATAGTTAATGTGCTTTTATACATGCCAGGCACTGTTCTAAAAGCTTTACTTGTGTTTATGTTGTTTACTCGTCATAAAACCCTATGGGATAGGGTTTTCATTTGCATTATGAGGAAGCTGAGACAGGGAAAGGTGATATAACTTGGCCAAGATCTCGCAGCCAGTAAGTGGTGGAGCCACATTTCAGAATAGTCTAATTCCCAAGAGAGTCTTCATTCATAGCAATCAAATCTCAATACGACCTTTAGATAATACCGGTAAGTAATTTACTCCTAAAAATTTATTTCAGGCAAAGTGACCATGTCACTGAAGCTGACACTTCTTCACTTTTTTTTTCTTGCAAGAGATGAGGGTGATTTTTTGAAGAGAAATACAACTCTTAGCTATTTACTAGGATTTGCATTTATGTAAATAATTAATCTCTGATTTTTCTACCTGTATCTTTAAGTTGCATCATAGATTGTATCTATAATTTAATTATTTTGCAAGTGGCATATGTCTTTGTTCTTGATTATACAAACCAAAGATGCCAGTAAACATCTAGAATTCTGTTTATGCCACATAAAAATAGAAGAAATGCATAGCAGGAGTCAGGAAATGGAATGAGTGCAGGAAAATGCCCAAAATAAGATGATGGGCATGTGAGTATGCCTAGACTTGAGTACCTAAAGTAGGAAAAAAACTTTTAGCAGGCATGTCTGTAAACTCAGAGAAAGGAATTGGATGCCTTATGTAGTCTTGGGTACGTGAAACAATGGCACTGCCTCAAATTATTTTGAAAGGCTTTTGTGTGCATCAGGAGAAGTTATTTAATATGATGCTTTAGGAACACAGCTTATAGAGTTAGACGTCTTAAGTTTACACTGTTTGTCCACTTACAAGCTGAGTGACATGGAGGATATTAGGTAAAATGAGGACAGTAACAGACCTGTCTTATTGGACACTTATGAGAATTGAGTGAGGTAATCAATATTAAGCTTTTGAAAAGCATCTCCACCAAGTAAGCTCCTAAATATGAGTTATTTTATTGGTTATGTAGTACAATGTAACAAACCATTTCAAAAGTTAAGGTTTTAAAATAACCCTTTCCTTCTGATTCTGTGGATCAGCAGTTTGGGTGGGACACTGCTAGGTAATACTCTGGTGGTCACGCAGGACACAATTCCTCCAGTAACCTGTTGTGACAACACATGTGAATTATCTACCAGGGAAGCTTATTAGAGACTCCATGCCCAGGGTTTTTATTGGGGGCTAAGTGCAAAGGCATCCACTGTCTGACATGTACCAAAATTCCAGACTCGCAAGTGTTTAGCATAAACTATATTGTTTGAATGAACAATTTAGCCCAGTGAACCACTCTTACGGGAAACGCTCCTGAAATCTAAGTTCCCAGACTGAACTCCAGCTTCAAAGGAGAGCATTCAGGCCTATTGTATTAGTACTTCTGCACATACCACTTAAGGCCTAAGCTCAACTCCCACAGCGTCATTCTTGCCACATTCTATTGGTTAAATCAAGTCACCAGGCTGGTCCAGATTCAAACAGGTAGAAAAATAGGCCACCTCTTTTGGGACAATGTAGGATGGGAAGAAATTGGCTTTTTAGTTTTTTTTTTTCCAATTTATCAGATATTACCTATCTCAAAACAAATATATATATTTAAATACAACTTTAATTAGTTATGTTTGTAATTATAAGTTTGCAGTGCATGTCTGTTTTTGTGTGAATTTTCAGAATTGAAGGCTGCATTTTGTTCTTTCAAAAGGTTTGGCTTAAGAAACCAAAGGGAAGGGAAATATGATTGAGCAGAAATTGTATTATTTTGTTTTCCTAAATGTAATTAAAAGCAATCTTGGTAAATACGAAATGACCTCTCATTCACTATATATTTTTCTCTATCTGTGCTTGCCTATACATGTTAAATGTTAATTTCCAGTTAACGTAAGGTACTTTAACTTTGTATTCTGTCCTACTTTAAGATAATGGCTGTGCTTAATCAGAAGTCTGTCCTGGATATGATTAAAGAGTTTCGAAAGAACTGGCGGGCTCTTTGTAACTCTGAGAGAACTACGCTATGTGGTGCAGATTCCATGCTCTTGGCATTGCAGCTTTCTATGGCAGAGAGCAACAAACAGGTTGGTAAACTATATTTAGGTTAACTTGTTTTTTTAAAGCAAAATTTCATTGCTGCCCATTTGAATAAACTTAAGAATATTAATTTCCTTACAATATGTGCCCTTCTATGATAATACACCATTTTCACAAATGCCTCTGTGTATCTGTGTCAGAATGTTACAATTGAATTTGAAATTAATTATTTCAAAATTAGACTCTTCATATGTATGATTGTACATGGGACATGCACATTTGTTGTTTAATAGGAAGACTCAGGATAAACATGTAACTATTATTGTGGTCAAATTATTTTTATTTAATAAGACTTTCTTTGTTCCCTAAACTTTAAAAACTACTGGCTCTTGTACCCCAATCCTGGAAATTCTGATCTGCACTGAGATGCTGGAAACTGCCTTTAAAAAATTTCCACAAAGTGATTCTTACTTAGGTAGCTTGAGCCGGACTAGTGTTTGGAATTAAGCCCTAGCTAAAGGGCTGGAGGTGTTCAGATGAGAAAAGGATGAATGTAGGGTAGAGTGGTAAGGAACGGCTTTGTGATATTAGATGGATTTTAGATAAAGGAAGAGAAGGCTGTAGAGGAGGCATGATGAGGAAAGTCAGTTCAGAAGAAGGGTTCAGGGGAATCAAAGTCATGGTTTGACTTTGGTAAAGATACCGGCTTGACTAGAGAAGAGGATTTTTGAAGGGTAGAATTAGTTTCAATGGGTCTATTGGTCTAGATATTGAAATGACATTCTGATGAGTTGTTTTAATTTTACATGTCAGTAGTTTCCAGATTTTTAGATTCCATAGACCAGTAAAATTTTTAAAAAATTATTAGACACTGACAGATTTTAATCATTTCTCATTTTTGCAAATAAGGCCATTGAGAAAAAATAGTTACTATATACTATGATCATCATTTTGAAAAAGGAAGAATATTTTAACACTTAAAAAGTATAAAATCTTAAAACAGGGATAGTGTTTTCTACCCAAGAATAATTGGCAGTTTTGCATATTTTAAACAATGCATGTTAAGATAAATTTTGAATCTCTGAAACAATGACAGTGATATTTTACTTTATATAGTCATTTTTTGAACAAATACTGAGTTTTTACTGTGTGTTAGACATCATTGTAAAAATTGGGAATACAGTAA